TAAGGGGGAAGGGGACCCGCACAGGGAGCCCAGCAAGCAGAGAAGGCAGGCCCATGGGAGTGTGATATTACACAGGAGTATAATGGGGTTGACCGCATACTTGTCTAATTACTGAAGCTATTAAAATCTCTATAATTTAGATTCAAGGGGGAAAATCCTATATAAATGCACACATATGCTCCTGATTGGATTTTATGAACCCATTCTTCTGGATTCTGAAAGGACATTGCCCTGCTGTGTACATGTGGCTGCTAAACCTGAGTGACCTTTCCCCCTGGTCCTGCCATGGCCCCCTGTCTGGTGTACTCTGTTACTGTAATAAGCAGTTAGGTCAGATAAGGCGATGGTTGATGGGATCCTCTGTGTTGGAGCCGAATTATAATGCCCCAGTCAAAGGATTTAATCTAAACCAAATGTTTTTGTATTCAAAAAAACTCCAGGATCAGAGAAAATAGAAGTTTTACATTTGTTCAAGTTCAAACAGAGAGCAGAGAGAGATTCCAGAAGCTCCGAGAGTGGTAGGGGGGAAATGTTGTTTCTTTCGAGTTCAATCAAAGAAACAAGTAGAGTGTATTTTTATTCACCTTCTCCTTTTTAACCACAGAGTTAATCTTGCTAATGCTAAATTGAACTGGATATAACAAGTACTGCTCAATAAATAAATACTTCAGGTAGGAATGAATGGACAATGGTTCACAAAGGGGTTTACTGTTTGTGTTTTAGCACTGGGCTTTACTCTGCCTCTTCAGTCATGAGATTTACGGCAAGTTACTTATGCAAGTGCCTCAGTTTCCAGACCTGCAAAATGGAGCTAATAATAGTTAGGAGGGTTCAACAGATCTGTGCACCAAAAGAACAAACTTAGTGCCTGCTATGTAGCTGGTCCCTTCCTAGCTCATCTTCATTGGTTCTAACATCTCTGATCCTACCTACTGGACAATGCTTCCCTTCCTGACAACCCTGGTGGTGATGGCAGAAGTGACAGCAGAGATGACGATGATCGGTGGAAGTGCTAAGAGAGATAAAATAAACTCAGTTACATTTGTAGATATAAAATAATGGCTGTGTATTAAATAAAGTAAGAAAGTGGTTTATTCCAAGCCAAATATGAATGGCTATGGCCCAGGTTTATTCCAAGCCAAATATGAATGGCCATGGCCCAGGACTCACTTCCCAGAAGGAGACATCCTGTGGTGGAAGAGGTTACTGGAACTCCTGCAGCCACCGACCAAAAAAAGTCATAAATCAATACATTTGATAAATACATTGTTAGGGAAATTAGTTAGGCTACAGAAGAGTGGGGAAATCTTTTCTTTGGGTTTCAGGTGTTTTCTCACAGTATTCTTAGCTTTAGGGTTGGTGGAGGGTGGAAATCTGCTAAACTTAGAATACATTTCAAGGGTTTTGCCTAATAGTGCAAGGCTATTAGATCAGATACGAAGATTGAAAGTGAATGGTTATTAAAAGGCTTAAGATAGACCAAGATATTTTTGGCCTTTTGTTTGTTTGTTTGTTTTTTGTACTGGAGATTGAACCCAGAGACTCTTTGCCACTGAGCTGCATCCTCAACCCCTTTTATTTTTTAGTTTGATACAGGGTCTCACTAAGTTACTTAGGGCCTCACTAAGTTGCTGAGGTTAGCTTTGAACTTGCAATCCTCCTGCCTTGTCCTCCAAGACACTGGGATTACAGTTGTGCATCAACATTCTTATCTCTCCACAATCACAGTGTTCTACTCAGCCAAGTTCAGTCTGTATGATCTCTCAGAGAACTTTAGTTCAACACTTTTGGAGACATCTCAATATTTGTTACACTTTGTCTTTGTCACAAGCCAAAAAGACAGCTACCGATTGAGAGTCTTTCTAAGTCACAGATTATTTGCCAGTGTATATTTAGGACACAGATAGGACAGGCTAGCTTCCCAAGGTCACACAGTTCGATGAGTATAGCAGAGATAATTCCTTATTTATTAACTCCAAATCTATGGCCATTTTCTCCAAAATACATTGTCAGGGAACTAACAGTGCTTCCAAAGAGGCAAGTTATGCTACTGTCTGGTTTGCCACCACAGCCAAGCACACAGAGCACTGCCGCACTTCACAGGAATTCCCCAAGTTTGCTACATGAACAAACGATGCCACTTTCCTCTGGGCTCCGGGTAATCCATGAAACTGAAAATTGGGGACAGAAAAAGAAAGATATATGGAGTCTCAAAAATGCTCATAAGACATTAGAATACAGGAAATGCCCATGAGCCACTGGAATGTAAAACCAGCTATTTCTGAGTAACCCAGCCCTTGTCCTGGGGCCTTTGTACTTGGTGGGGTCCCTGCCTGCAAAAGGTGGCATTTGTCCATGTGAGGGCGCTGCACAACTGCAGGGCCAAAATTGTCACTGCCTGACTTCATCTCTAGTCCAGCCCCTAGCTACTGTCCCTCCATAAATGCAGTGCCCTGGCCACTGTGTCCATGCTTCTCGCTCTCAAAATGGCCCACACTCTCCCTTGAATGTGTGTTTACATTCTCTTTTCAATGTGTTTCTGCTTTCCTAAGTAAATCGGAGCCTCTAACTGACTTGTCCTTAAATTAATTTATACAATGGTTGTGAAGAACCCCATTGGTCCTGAGTTGAGGTCCTCACACCATCGCCAGTGACACTGCTTCTCAAATTCTTGAGGAAACCACAGTCTTATAAACATATTCTATTGGCATCTAATACACACACACACACACACACACACACACATACATATATGGGGTAATGTGTGTGTGTGTGTGTGTGTGTGTGTAGTACAATGTCCACTTTTCCCCTTCCTTGTCAATAATCAGAAGGCCCCCTTTTCCCTAACTAAAGTGAGAATCCTATAACTTCCCCACCAGCCCCAAGGAAGCTCTGAGAAGTCTTAGGTTGTACACATAAGAAAACTCATAGTTTGATGCATGAAAGCCTAGGGTAGGCTGAATCCTCACTTCTCCTACCTGAACACACTCCTTCTTTTCAGCGTGAAAATTCTTATAAACAATAAAATTCCTTAATTTGAATTCTGTCTCTGATCTCTATTGGCCACTACAATAAGACAACAGTACTTCTTTTGTATCAGCTTGAGACCTGAAGGAGACAGACAGATCATGCCACCCCAAAATATGCCTCTAGGCAAAGAGTTATTTGGAGCTGATCATTTTGAGAAACTGCAGATGCAGGGGAACTTCTGAAAACAGGGCAGAATTTATCCTTTTATAAGGGAAATTTGTGTCTATAAAGGAAACCTCTATTTGTAAGGGTATTTCCCTCTTTGTATCAGGAGGAGACTATGATTGTAAATCACCAGGGATCAGCAATGGAGAAGTCATGATTTAAACTCACAAACCACCCCTACCTGAGTTGGCCGTGCTTTTCCTGGTCTTCTCCTTTTTTTTGCTTAGCCACTGAGTTACATCCTCAGCCCTTTTTAGTTTTTGAGACAGGGTCTCACTAAGTTGCTTAGGGCTTGCTAAATTGCTGAGACTGGCCTTGAACTTGTGGTCCTCCTGCCTCAGCTTTCTGAGCTGCTGGGATTACAGGAGTGTGTCATTGCACCCAATTATTTTCACTTACATCTTTCTTTCTTTATTTCAGTTGAAGATGAGATTTAAGCCTGAAATCTAGGCCACCTCTTGAAGCATTACTCATTTCTTGGTTGTCTCTCATGTATACATGAGGAATACATGCAAATAAGCTTCTGTTTCTCAGTCTGCTTTTTGTTGCATGTATCTAACCCAGAGGATGGAAAGAAAAATTTTTTTTGTCCTCCTACAGTACATATGCCTACTTCCTTTCGAAGGAAGGAAGGAAGGAAGGAAGGAAGGAGCCAGTTGCAGTGACACATGCCTGTCATCCCAGCTGCTCAGGAGGCTGAAGTGGGAAGATCACAAATTTAAGTCCAGCTTGGGCAACTTAGTAAGACGGTTTCTCAAAACAAAATCAAAGGAGATGGGGATGTAGCTCTGTGGTAGAACACTTACCTAGTATGTGTGAGCTCCTGGGTATGATCCTCAATACCACAAAGAAAAAGGAAATGTGTTTTTCCATGCTTTATCTCATCTGATGCTCAAAACAACTCTTGGGGGCTGAAAGGAAACATTACTATTCTTATTTCATAGATGAGAAAATAGGTATGGCTCATGGGTAGTAAAAAGCACAGCAAGAGTTGAAATGTAGCTCTTCATTTGATAGTTAAAAAAAAATTTAATGAGCACCTACTGTGTTCCAGGCACCTTGCTGGGCTCTGGGAACAAAGCAGAGAATAGACAGAGCAGCCTTGCAGGCCATCTTCTGGATCCTAGTCTAGTGCTCTTAACTAATGTGAGAACTCTATCCAGTGACAGTGGCATTAACTCATCATCCAATACATTTTTTTTCATATAAAAATTTAATGGTTTTTAGAGGTTTCTAAAGAATGCCTTAAAAGGAGTTGGAAGGCACTTTGTACATGATTTTTGACTAAGAGTACAATAAACTTTAACCAAATTAGCTGAATTACAATTGTAACATGACTTGGAACAAAATGATCAAAAAGTCATCCAAATGTCTGCTGATACTACCATCTTGGATAAAAGATAAGTGTGCTAAAAGAGCAGGAGTGGAGTTAGCTGGATTCCAACTCAAGAGGCCCATCTTTCTATAGTGAGATAGCTATGATTTCCATGCAGCCTCCATGCCGACTCCGATGTCTTCATCCAGTCTTCCCTGAGCTACAGTGTCCAACTGCCAGGCCTGTGGGGTTCCCTACTGTTCTCCTCACAGACAAAAGGAAAACAGCATGTATTCCTTCTGCCTCTAAGAGTATGAGTAAAATGGCTTTGTGATGGTGAGAAATGTCAACTTAATTAGCATTTTTCCTTCCAGGTAATGAGGGTTTTCTCCAAAGAGTGTCCCAAATTAACAACACTGTTGGAGGAAGTTTGTATTTCTCTTTCTCTTTCCATTTAAGATTCCTAGATAAAAAAAAATATGCCCAAAGATAATAAGAAACTTTCATGATTTATTGTTTTTCAACATAACAAAATAACAGATTACAACAGCCAAAGAATCTGCTTTATCCAAATGTGTATTTTGATGTTGTCCATTTGAGAGGCTTGGATCTTATGTCCTTCAAACATTTTTTAAGATTATGGAAATAAAAATATATTTTTAAAATATGAAGACTTCTTTATTTGGAAATTTTACTGACATTTTTCAGGTAACTTCTATGAGCTCCATGAAATGGTGTTCGAAAACAACAAGAGTTTGTGGAAGGTACATTTTGTGAGAATGTGGTTTTCCAAAAGATTCTCAAAAGAAGGTATCAATCAAAACAATTTGAGAACTGCTTCATAATAATCTGCTGATGTTTTAAATGCTGTCAACTCATTTAAAAGTAATTCCACATAATTTTGTATGTTTTTTCAAACTAGGTGTTTAAAACCAAAATATAGAGTCATCAGATAGATTTTAAGAATATAAGATGCCTAATCTATGCCATGACATATATTTCATTTGCACAAAGCAGAAAGGATTATTCAGCTCTAACTTCACTTAACTCATCTCTGAGGACTGCAGTTCCTCCTGAGCAGCTGGAGGAAGGGAATTCTCCAAAGCAGGCCTTCCATTGCTGTTGCACTGCTGTTATTTCAGTCTGAGGCCTGCATGAGGGTCGAAGATGACAACCTTTGTCTTTCCATCATGCTGCTATGGAGTGGGAACTCAGGGCTTTGTCAAGGAGGACTTGTGGGTAGAACCCTGTCCTGAATAAATAAAGCCCAGAATCTCTGCTCTCTAGGGGACACAAAAGACTTACTTGACATATATACAATTTATTCATTTTTTAAAAAATAGGCTACTCTATGGATGAAAAACACTGAACAATATATATAGGATTTCTCTATTAACACAGTCTCTAAGGCTAACACTGGTTCTAATTATCATATGTCTTCCTACGAATTAAAGGATCTATTGTGGCGGATTTGCCAATGTTGGTAATTCTTCAAATATATGCCCATGAAAAATCCAGTTATTTTGTAGGTAGATTTTAGGATTACATTTTAACAATAATCTATGAAGTTTTCATTTTTAGAAGTGAATTTGCCTAATTTCAGAGAGTCTCCACAATCTAAATAACTGGGCTTTTTGTCACAGTCTTCTATTTACAGGTATGTGATGAAAGTTTTCTTTCCTGTAAGGTAGAGAGAGAAAAAAAATTGTATTTATGTACACACACACAAACATGCACATACCTATATACATGTATTTATATATACACACACACACATATATATATATGAAGTTCAGTAGATGCTCCTATTTAAAACAATATCAGAATAGGTGCATGAAAGCTTGATAAGGTTTGTAAAATTTATAGAAGCGTCCTGCTCTTCAAGGCCTGATGTGAGTTATGAAATCTAATTTTGTTTTCATAGCTCTGTGATAAAATTTTATCAATGTTATAAAAGGGGTCTTTACTAAGACTGACCGGAAATCTGAACTATCTGGCCAGGCAATAAAAACACATTCCTTTGCTGCAAAGTGTCAGACAAGCAAGGTTTAACTGAAATTGATCGATAAGTCTTCCTTTTACAGTTGAGTGCATTCACTTTGCCTCATAGGATAATAGTTTTCTTTTTAATGGTTTTTCCATTAATATCAGACTTCAGTGTTAGTAAGGAACAAGAAAGACATAAAAGAGAGAGGGAGAGAGAGACATGCCATCAGGAAAGAATGTTGTGATCTTTAATGGCAGGGCACTTGTGCTCAGACAAAGTGCTTGTGAGGGTGAGATATGGAATTTCTGTTACTCCCTGTGTCCCCTGAAAACTCACATGCTGAAGTCCTAATCTCAGCACCTCAGAATGTGATCTTATTTGGAAATAGAATCATTGCAGATGTAATTAGTTGAGGTCACACTAGAGTGGAGTGGGCTTCTAATCCAATATGACCAGTGTCCTGATAAAAATGAGAAAATCTGGACAGAGGCACACAGGGAGAATGCCAAATTAAGATGAAAACAGAGATCAGGGTGATGTTTCTACAAGCCAAGAAATATCAAAGATTGACGGCCATTTTAGTCTGTTCAGGCTGCTAAATAAAATATCTTAGACTGGGTGGCTTATAATCAACAGAAACTTAGTTTCCCACAATTCTGGGAACTGGGAAGTCCATAATCAAGGTGCCGACAGATTCTGTGTCTGGTAAGGGCCTGCTTCCTAATTCACAAATGGTGGCTTGCTACGTCTTCATGTAGTGGAAGGGCAATGGCACTCTCTGGGGCCTCTTTTATGAGGACACTAACCTTCTTTGTAAGAGCTCTGCCCTCATGATATAAACCACCTCCCAAAGGCCCACCTCCTGATACTACCATCACATTTGGTGATTTTGTTTCAACATATGAACTCGGGGGAGGGACACAAACATCCAGACCGTAGTGCCAGCCACCCATCAGTAGCTAGGGAGTGGCACAGGACAGATTCTTCTTCATAGCACTCACAAGAAACCAACCCTGCTGATACCTTGCCCTTGAACTTCTGGTCTCCAGAACTGTGAGATAATACATTTCTGCTTTTTAAGCCATCAATTTTATGGTACTTTGTTATAGTAGTTGCTATGGTCTGACTGTGTCCTCTGAAATTCATGTGTTGGACACAATTCACGGTAGTGTTAATAGGGGGGATTTTGGGGAGGTGTTTAGGTCATGAGCTTCTACCTTCATAAATGTTTTAAAGCTGCTATAAAAAGGGCTTGTGTGAGGGGAGTTGCATTCTCTGCCCTTCCGCATTTCACCATGTCAGGGCAGAGTAAAAGAGGCCCCTACCAGATACTGGTGCCTTGATCTTGATCTTGTACTTTCCTGCCTCCAAAATGGAGAGAAATAAACTTCTGTTCTTTATATTTAGCCTCCAGTACTCTGTTCTAGCAGTTCAAAACTGACAAACACAGCAACCCTAGGAAACAAATGCATGGATAAATACAGCATGGGGGTTGGGAAGTGAGACCCCTGCTCGTTTATTATGTTCTGATGAGAGGATTTCCCTCATGCTCAGAGTAGGTGCTGCCCATCTTGGACTGGGCATCAAAGTATATAGCATACCTTGCCAAATTTATTTGTCATCAAGGAAACTATCCAAGTAGGCAGCAACTACACCATAAAATATGTCCATAAAGGCATCCAGTGAACATACAAATTACCAATAATAATATTTGACATTTCTATAGTGTTAAAAACAAAAATGGTTGGTATAATGAAAAAAGGACAGGCTTTAGGGTTAGGCTGGGTATAAATACCAGCTCTGCGACTTATTGGCTATGGCTCTGTGCAAGATAATTCACTCCTCCAAAGCTCAGCTTCTACTTCATAGCATGGTTGTGAATGAGACAACAATATAAAAGGTCCAGCTTAGTTCCTGCCTGCACAGGTAGACATTCTAGATGTGTGAGTGCCCTTCTTCTTCCATTTTGGTGATCTCCTTTGACTTTTCTACCAAGAGACTTTCTCAAGAGTCCAAGAGGCAAGGGTCAAGGCAAACCTTTAATTCCAAGTTCAGGGATCTTTCTTTTTTCTTTTTTTCTTTCTTTCTTTCTTTTCTTTTTCTTTTTTTTTTTTTTGGTTGTAGATGGACACAATACCTTTATTTTATTTATTTTTATGTGGTACTAAGAATCAACCCAGTGCATCACATGTGCCAAGCAAGTGCTCCACCACTGAGCCATAACCCCAGCCCCCAAGTTCAGGGATCTTTCTATCAGAGGAGTCACTTCAAGTTCTTGACTATCCCAAAGCTATGCCATGACTTCAGTAGGTTCCTCTGTTGAGATTCAGAATAGAGATGGCCCTAAAAGCAGATTGTAGTGAACATCTGTAGGAGGAGATGGACTTCAGGAACTAGCTGGGATCCTGGCTACATCATTTTTGTTGCCCAATCGTATCTCACCACTGAGATATGAATCAGAATCAAACTTCCAAAGTTGTATTTAAGAGATTCATAATCTGTCCTTCTCAGTTTCTCAAAGTGACAGCAGCAGGAGCTCAGACTAGTTAGTATCCCTCAGCTAGTTAGCATCAAGTTGGTCTCATGAACCCCAGTACAATGTATCTTCCATTCAGTGAAGTGTCCCAAGTAACCGTGATGTCAGCTCAGGAATGGAAGCACCAGAATAGATCCAAGTACATGTAAAATATTCTGAGAATTAGCCTTTGCCACTGAAGAGAAATGTGGCTTCAGTGGATTCAAGGTCCTTCTTAAGTCTGTAATTCTTAGACCAAGACAAAGTGAGGGTGAATTTCAAGATGGAAAGTGACTGAAATTTAGTAAAGAGGTGGGGGCACATCAGTACTTTTGCATATTTGCTCTTCTGGGGGGGGGTAGATTTTGCTCATCTGGGCTCCCTGCATGCAGCAGCTCCTGAAGGAGCAAGTGGCAGTTTCAGAGCAGATCAAGGGTGCGAGGAGCAGTGACTCCTGTTTGGAAATCTCCCCAATTGGCTAACTCCCATTTACATGCTGTTTCTGGCAGGAGATCAGTCTGGGTCACCTCATCGCCAATGAGTAAATATGCTGAAAAATTATTACTATTTCAGACAAATGTTGAACTGTTCTCAGATTATCTATGACACCACAGGCCAAAGTCACAGCCATCTAACCTGGGAGTGAGTTTACTTTACCTTGTGATTTATGGAATGAGAATTCTGGGTGCTCTGTGGGACTAATTTAATACGAAACATTCAGATGTCTGTCGTATAATGCCATTCATCTTTCCTTAGCCTGCCTGCACCAGGGGGCATGTGGTTCAGAGAGCAGCCTCTCCCGTCTCAGCCACAAATCATCATGCTTATGAAAGAGAGTGACATGTCTTCCCTTCTAAGCCAGGCTGCCTGCAGCAAGGGTCTGTCTGGGCTCTGATGGGAGAAGCATTTCCTATTCTCAGGCCTCAGGAGTGTTTTGAAAGGAACAGTAGTTGGAGAAGAGAGCCCAAGCAACTGCATTTTGGTTTGACTTGAAGGAAATTTAGTTAGTCTATACTATTTCATCGACAAGGGCAGGCTTGTTTTATGAGACAATGTGATATTCTATAGATTGATAAAATAATGCATGTGAGAAGCAAGTTTTGCAGAAAGAAAAATTCTGATTCAATATATTATTGACATTAAAACCCAGATACTTCAGTGCATGCTAAAACAAAACAAAGCACTTTTAACCAGCAAGTTACCCTAAATTTCATATTCCTTTAACAAATGTTCATGAATGCCTGCTATATCATAAGGAATATTATATGGCAGGCCCTAGGAATACAAGTCTGAACAGACCTGGTCTTGCTTTCAAGGGGGTTTCAGGTCAGGGAGAGAAAGAGAGAGTCACAGTAAGTCCACCTGGGTAACTGCTACAATTCAGCTGAGAATTTGGTTCAGGGAAGACCATGGAAGAGAGTTCCCATCAGTCAGGTGTGTCGCGTGGTCAGGGAAGATTTCCTTAGAAAGTCACAGAAGAAGAATGTGCAAAGGTATGGAAATAAGAGAAGGCACACACTCGGTGGGGGAGTTTAGGAGCACAGAGCCCTGTGCACAGAAGACTGAGAACCAAGACTCCAGAGCCAGGAAAGCACCATATTCCAAAGGGCTTTGGGCAACATATGGAGGAATTTGTTCTTCATTTTCATGAAGGACAGGAAGCTACTGAGGGGTTTTAAGTAAGAGAGTGATATGATAGTATTTCCATTCTAGAAAGATCACTCTGGCTACCACTTTGATAAAGAACTGGAGAGGAGAAAGGCTGGGGGCAGGATATGTGTAATGACTAGTTAGAAAACAATGACTTTATCCAAGTGAGCAATGACAATGTTTGAAGTAAGATGATGTAAGCAGGCTGAGGAAAGAGGATCACAAGTTTCAGGCCAGTCTGGGCAAATTAGCAAGACCCCGTTTTAAAATAAAAATAAAAATAAAAGTAGCTGGGAATGTAGCTCAGTGATAAAGCACCCCTGGGCTCAATCCCCAGTATTTGGGAGAAAAAAAAGTAAGTAAACAACTTCAAAGTTGTTTCCCATTTTATTCATAGTAACAGTTGCAAGTTGGTGCAGATGAAAATTGATCTCTGTTGTGAGTCACTTTATGAATGAGCCAGAGGACCCAGAGTGTGGCATCCTGGTGACACTGTCAAGTGCTGCCTCAGCAGTTGGCCCTAAGCCTCTTGAACACATAGCTTTACTAATGTGTACAGATGTGGCTCGTATCAACATTTTCATGAAAACAGGGCAATATCTAACAGAAAATACCTCTCCATGGATGTCCTGAAGTATAATGAGAATTTACGACTCAAACACAGCAGATAACTATTGAGGCCAGTTAGTGGAACTCACATTTCAACATTGGGAAAGTTGTTAAACTAGGATGGCCTCTGAGAGCAGGGGTAGGAGGACAGATGGCAATAAAAATAAAATCCATAATGGCATATATCCTATCAAAATGACTACATTAAATAAGAGGCAAGGACAGGTCTGATTTAAAGGGAAAAAAGGATTTACATTCAGAATTGATCTGGCAAAATTGTCTGGGTGCCAATTCAAAAGTGTCCTGAGTTTTGTTAGGCTTTCTCTGCAATTTCTCAGATAGACTCTCTTATATTCAGAAGGGTTACTTATGAATCCAATAGGTATCCATCCTGATATTGTAATCAAACTCACAGATTCTAACCTCAGGTTCATGTTGGCTGTATTTAGTTCACCTCACCAACGCCTGTTTTGACAGTGTACCCAAGGGCAAACCTCTGACAGACTGAACAGGAATAGTGACAGCCTCGTTGATTCCATTGCTAATTTCATCCATCAGTGGTGAAGGGAGAAAATAACCAGAACAATGGCAGAATTGCATGTTCTAAAATGCCATGAATCCCGAAGACCCCTCCATGTCTTTGGCTGCCTCATTAAAGAACAATCATGTTGTTGCTTACATGGGGAAGTTGTGGGTTGTATCGTGTAGCTCTGACATCCTAATCTAAAGGAAGGATTAAAAGGCAACTATTTGATGCTCTCTATTCATTCAATCTTCTATTAAAAGACACAAAGTAATTCAGTGACCCTCTACCAAAAAAGAGCCAAAATAAATATGAAGAAAAGACAGGTAACAGTGTGTAAAGCAGGAGAGCCATAAATAGGAAGGTGCCTATCTTAGCAGACAACAGAAGAGCCCATTGGAGAAATAGAAAATTTACAGAAGAAGCAAGAAGCACAGAGATGCAGGGAGGTCAAGAACAGGAAAGGCTGATTACTAGGGTGGCCTCTGGGACACAGATAGGCATGCCTCTTAAACAGAGACTTCCATAGCCAGACAGGGCGGCACACACCTTGACCCCAGGGGCTCAAGGGGCTGAGGAAGGAGGATTGCAAGTTCAAAGCCAGACTCAGCAACTAAGTGAGGCTCTAAACAATTTTATCAAGACCCTGTCTCAGAATAAAAAAATAAAAAGGGCAAAGGATGTAACTTAGTGGTAAAGTATCCTTGGGTTTAATCTCAGTGCTAAAAAATAAAAATAAATAAATAAATAAAAGACAGACTGCTATGAAGCCTGTGTGATGATGGGCTTTCCTGTGCTTCCTTCCTTCCTTGTCAATCAATCCAACAAACCTCCATCCCACCAGAGGTATATGGAATATGTGTCTGTAATTGGTAATCACAATGAGTTTAATTTAATAGAAAATGTCTAGTCCAAACTTTCATATAAGCTCCTTTTTTTTATTTGTTTGGTTTTTGTTTTTTGGTACTGGGGATTGAACCTAGGGGTGCTTAACCACAGAGCCACATCCCAGCCCTTTTTTGTTTTATTTTGAGGCAGGATCTCACCAAGGTGCTTAAGGCCTTGCTAAGTTGCTAAGGCTGGCTTTGAACTTGTGATCCTCCTGCCTCAGCCTCCAGAGCCACTGGGATTACAGAAGTGCATCACCGTGCCCAGCAT